TTGCTCACCTTCTTGGCACTATGTGTTTTAACCAAGGTCACCTCTCTGAGAAAGGTTGTTTGCCCAGGTAGGGATTTTCCCCTGAAGTTAGGGAGGGAATAAAACCCCTTAACTAAGTGCCAGGCGGGTAATTAATCACTTTAACTATGAACAATCATGCTTAAGCTACATAATCTTTACTCCCTGGAATGGAGATAAGAAACGCCCTAACCTTTGGAATAGAGATTGATAGGATTGGAATCAACTGGTATAAATACAGATGTAACAAGACAACAGGACACAGAACCTAGATACAGAACCTAGACACAGAACCTAGACAGAACCTAGAGACAGAAGAACTTCGCTGGAGAGAACATGGCAAAAGATCCTGGACAGAAACTGGCTACAAAACCTAGAGACAGAACCTAGCGAGAGAACCTGGCTGAAGAACCTAGAGACAGAACCTGGCTACAGAACCTGGATAGAACATGGCAAGAGAACCTGACTAGAACCTGGTGACTGAACCTGGCTGGAGAACCTAGCAAGAGAACATGGACACAGAACCTGGCCGGAGATCCTAACCAGAACTTCGCTGGAGATCCAGACCAGAACTTGGCTGGAGATCCTGGCTAGAGATCCTGTCTAGGCTGCTGATCAACTGAACGCTGTCTCCGTGTCATTCCTTCTTCGCCGATTCCGTCCACACCTTTGGGGACCCCTGGACCTGCTGGGGTTGGACCCCAGCACCATCCCATCCTCTTGCACACGGCCCCGCCCACCTCCAGCTCACCAGGCACAGTTGGCTACACTGATGGTGGGGGACCAGCGACGGGTACTGCAGGTAGACGATGCGGCACAGGTCTGGACTCAGCCGGGGAGAGGAGACAGGCAGGGAGCCATCCGACAAGAGCTCTGGGCCAGACGGAAGCGGGAGCGTCACGCGGCCAGGCCGGGCCGGGCCGGGTGGGTCAGTACAGCTCAGGGGGCCCCGCACTTACCACACTTCCCCCCTGTGAGGTCCACGTAGTACAGGGCTGACCTGAAACCAGCAGAGACGCTTGGCTTCAGGGCCGGCCTGCGCCCCAGCCCCTCCCTGCCCTGCCCCCCCGCCTCACCTGCGGTTGGTGCAGAAGCGGACGCCCAGCCGGAAGGGCTCGTGCTGCCATCCCACGAACACCACGCCCGTGTCTCCCGGGGCCCAGAAGGCCTGTGGGCAAGGCCCCGGGGCAGGGTGAGCAGGGGCCACTCAGGTAGGCCCCGCCCCAGACGCGGAGGGTGGCGTCGGCCTCACCTGTCCGGGGGACACGCTCTCAGGGACGCCCTCGAGCACAGAGATGTTGCCGCTCTCGACGTCCAGCACGCAGAGCACTGGGGTGCTTTTGGAAGCCATGCTTTCTCCCCAGTCTTCATAGAACACAAACTGGTCCCCCTGAGAACACAAGACACTCAGCGTCCAGCCTGCCTTGGCAGGGCCAGCCCTGCCCCCGAAGCCAGTGCCTTCCAGTTCTGCAAGGTGCAGGGTGGGCAGGGCGCGCACGGAGCCCAGGGCTGCCCCGAGGGCCTCCCGGACTGGCCGCGGCCCTGAGCACCTTGATGGCCTGGTCTGGCTTCTTGGGCTCGGCCATGTCGTCATCACTGACGTCCAGGGCTTTGGTCTGAAAGAAGGACTCGGTCTTGGGGCGCTTCTTCTCTGCCACATACAACAGGTGTGTCTCCGAGTGCGACCAGGACAGGCAGCCAAAGCAGTCTGGGTGAGAGGGCCAGTCAGGGGGAGCCCCGGGCGGCAGCCGCCCCTCTGCCCACACCGCCTGTCGCCGCCAGCGCCTCACCGTCCTCGTACACTGGCCCGTGTTTCTCCAGCGCCGACAGGTTGAAGCTCTTGAGCTTCCGGTTCTTCTCCCAGACCTGGGGACATCGGGCATCAGGCTGCCTGCGCCCCAGCAGAGCCTGACACACAGGCGGAGCCCCACTGCCCACCCCCTGGTCCCCCCAAGGCCCCGGCTGCCCCGCGCCCACCTCCAGGAACTGCTTCTCCTCCCCGGCGCCCGCACTCCCTGCCTTGCGCAGCACGGCTTTCATGGCGCCTGAAGGAGACTCCCTGCTCAGCAGCCTGAGGAAGACACGGGGGCAGGTCAGGGTCACCTCCCACCCCACATGGCCCGGACAGGCCACAGCCTCTTAGACAGGATGCTGGGGGCCTTGGCCCACACCCACCTGGCAGCCCTTCCAGCCCCACCGCGGCCGCTGGCCTGGCCGCTCCGCCCGGGCCTCCCTGAGCCTCCACGGGCCCACGTCTGGGGCAAACGCCAGTCTTATCAGGGCCTGTCAGGGCGCAGGGTGCCCCCAGGGGCAAAACCTGGCTCCCGCCGGCCCTGCCCGCACCCGCAGGCCCGGGCCTCGCCCCGGCTTCCTCCCGCACTTACTCCCCCCGGGTCTCCACACTGTTGCCCGCAGGCCCCGCAAACACCACCGCGTCCCCATCGTGGAACACCAGGTACTGGCGGCAGAACCGGATGTTCTCCATGCGCTCCAGGTCCCTCTGGGTCCACTCTGCGAGGAGAGGCAGGGGCTGCTCAAGGGGCCGCCGCCAGGAAGGCCCGCGCCCCATCTGCCTCCGGACGCGCAGGTGCAGGGCCGGCCTCCTGGCGACACCCCCGCGGCTCCGGCACCCACCCACCCACGGGGCGCCCGGCTCCAGGCCCCCGCCTGCACCAGGCCTGGGTCTGCGGCCCCCGCTCAGCTCGGCACTCGGGGCGGCGCTGAGGCCGTGTGTGCACCCCCTCGCCCCGCACCCGTGGGCGCTGCCCAGCAGCCCGCCCTGCACCCCCTCCCGCTCCCCTCCGCGCCCACCGGTGTGCACCGTCCGGTAGCGGCCCCCGTACTGCGTGGTGACCTCGGGGCCCAGGCAGGCGGCGCTCAGCGCGGGCTGGCGGCTCAGCGCCCGGTACAGCGCCGCCGCCTCCGCGGGCTCGCTCAGCAACACCTGCGCGGGGGACACAGCAGGGTCAGGCCCGGCCCGCGCTGCGGGGGCCGCGCGAACCGGGGGCCGAGCCCTCACCTGCCGCTCCATGACCGCCGGCGCCGCCGCGGGGAGGCGGGGCGAGCGGCGCCCGGAAGTGAGGTTGGGGGGGCGGAGCCCGGAGGAGCCCCCTAAATCCGCGCCGCCCGGCCTCCCGGAGGAGGGGCGGGACCTCCGACGAGTGGGCGGGTCCGTTCGCGGGGGGCGTGGCCTCGACGGTCGGGGGCGGGGCCCCAGACGCAGAGCCGGGGACCCGAGGGGGCGTCCTGGGCGGGACCCCGAGGAGAGGAGCGGCTTTCAGGGGCGCGAAGGGCTGGTGGGAGGGGGGTCGGGCACGGGGTCTCCAGGAGAGGGGGGCCGGCCGGGCGGGGCCGGTCATCGGCGGGGTGCGAGCCGCCTGCCCCCAGGAACCTCCCGCTCTGGGCTGCCGGTGGGTCCCTCCTGGTACAACATGGGCGAACCTTCCCGGACAGCGCCAGGCCTGGCCTGGGCGGGGCTCGCACAGCGCTGGTGTGCAGAGCGCTGGGGTGTGGGCCAAAGGGCGGGCTGCTGAGCCCTCGGGGTGTCGTTATCAGCCACCAGGCCCTCCCCGCGAGCTATCGGTCCCTTCAGCCCTCACCCACCCCACTCAGTGACGCCTGCCTCCCCGGCCGCAGTCCAAGCTCTTGGGTGCAGAGGACCTGGTGGGGTCCAGCTCACCCAGAGCCGGAGAGCTGCCTGTGGCCCAGGACCGAGCGGCTCTGGTGGCCAAGGGGGGGCGCGAGGGGCTGGGCAGCAGCTGGGCCAGCAGGGATGTCCCTTCTCCTTGTGCCCTGAGCCTGGCTGGTCTCCCACACCCCAGGGCCCTGGCTCCGTGCCCTGCCCTGCCTTTGGCCGAAATCCGCCCGCCTTCCCCATCAGCCACATCAGCTCCTTCAGGAAAAACAGTCCTCATGCCGGAGGCCACTGGCACTGCGAGCAAACCAGGCAGGACCCGGACGGGAAGAGTGGCCGGCCGCCAGTGGGGTGGAAGGCTGGCGACTGTGAGGTTCCTCCAGCGGTGTTTGTACCAGGAAAGCGGGGACATGGTGCCTGTCCATGGGGCTGTGCAGTGGACCCGCTGGAAAGGCCAGGCTCAGCTCTCTGCAGGCTGGGCCCCGGGGGTGGCCACCCAAGTACCTGGGTGAACATGCAGAAACAGATGGGAGGAGCTGGCCTTCCAACTTCTGTGTAAAATGACAAGGAAGAGTCCCAGCTGGCGTGGCTCCGTGGATAGGGCATCAGCTGCGGACTGAAGGGACCTGGGTTCTATTCCCGTCGGGGGCACAGGCCCAGGTTTCGGGCTCGATCGCAGTGGGGGGGGGGGGCGTGCAGGAGGCAGCCGATCAATGATTCTCTCTCATCATTGATGTTTCTGTCTCTCTCTCCCTCTCCTTTCCTCTCTGAAATCAATAAATAATTTTTAAAAAATAAAATGAAAAATAATAGAAAAATACAAATAAGGACATGCATCAAGGTGCTAACCTGGGGAGGGGGTGGGAGGCCGGAGGCCAGGGTGAGCCTCTTTTTGTTGACCTGTGGTCTTAAAGTTGCCTAGCAACGCTGGCTCCTTCAGTAGGGTTAGCCCATCCTTCTGGGGCAGGGCTGAGGTCTGGCAGCCCCTGAGTTTGGGGGTTGGGGCAGACACAGCCAGGCAGGCGGGTGTAGGACCTGTTGGCGGCATCAGGGGGCAGCACCTGCTCACCCGGCTCCCTGGAACCAGGGCCCAGAAAGTGGTTTGTGCAGCCTGGACACTGGGCACAGGCGGAGGAGGCACCACCTCCAGGGCCAAGCTTGGGACCTGCCCGGGGAGCCTCAGTGGGGGCTGTGACGTGGACAGCGCGTGGCCTTGGCCCTGCCTGGCTGGCACCTGCGCACTCTGCCGGTTCACGCTTCTCCACGGACAGGACTGTCGCGAGCTGGGGGATGTGCTCCTCTGGCTGAGCCTCCCCCGGCAGAAACCACCCCAAGACAGTCTGCAGGTTGTGGATATCAAGTCCTTTATTCTGATGCCACAGTTACCTCGTCACAGCACAGGGGAGGGACACGGAAGTAGCACGAGTTCTCACGGGCACGGAGGACGCACACACTTCACAAGGTCATGTGGAGGGCTCGGTCATTGCACTTACAACTGTAAACTTGTTTGTGTGACTGTACAGCACTCCCCCCCCCCTCAGATAAAGAAGGAGAGAAAGAAAGGGGGGGAGGGACTGAAGGGAAGGAGTGGGGGAGGAGAGAGGCAGCCAGCAGGGGCGAGGCTGGGCGGCCACAGCCAGGGCACCGCACCTGCAGGGGGCTGACGGGGTCAGAAGCTGGAGGCAGACACACACACCCACTCACACCGGGTCACATGCACGCACGGTGTCACCACTTCCACGGCTCTCAGGGGGCAGGCTGGGTGCCCAGGGAGACGGGTGACATCTCTGAGGAGTTTCAGTTGACCAGGCCTGTCACTCTGACCCTGTCGAGTCCACGATGACACCTATTTACAAAGTGGGGGAGGGGATACAGGGCGGGCGGGGCCAGGCTGCCATGCTGCCCTCAGCACAGCTGAGACCTCGCTCTCCCCGGACGGAGCAGATGGCGGGGAGGGGGTGTCGCTGTGAAATGAATCCCTTGCTTCTGACGCTGGGCGGCCGGTATGCAGAGGCCTGGACGGCGTCCTAGGGACCCTTTCCTGTTGGAGATATGCCCGGGGCTCCCCACTGCCCACGGCCCCGAGTGCTGGTCCCTTAGCATCCACAGGGCCAGGACGCCTGTGCCGAGGCCTGCTCCAGTGAAGGCACAGGTATGACCTGTGCGTCCGCTGGGGATGGAAGGGACAGATGTCAGACCTTTCAAACTCGGAGGGCTCGGCCAGAAGGAAATTTGCTGAAAAGTTAGCATGTCAGAGCCTGAGGCCGGGTCTGATGGAGCCACCTGCAGCCACCTGCCTGCTCCTGCCCACCCCCGGCTTCAGTGGCAGGAGAGCTGCTGCGGGCCCCAAGTACCCAGCTGGCCCTGGGCAGTCAGAGGTGATGGAGGTGGCCCCCCTCAGCCCTTGCTCAGGTCGCCGCCCGGAGCCCAGGCCTGGTCTCAGAGGAGGCAAGTGCCATGGGATGCGTGAGGCCCAAATCCTGGAGGACCAGGGTCTCAGGCCCAACACAGAGGTTGACACCTCCTATCCCCCCCCGAAGCGGCCAGGATCCCTCTGTAGGGCCATGTAGACCTTATGGGAAGCATGGAAATGTGGACCCTGAGAAATGCATGGTGCAAACCAGAGCGCGGAGGGGCCGGGCCGGGGCGGCAGCCACCCTGCCGGCTCCTGGCTCAGTGGCAGGGACGCAGCGATGAGGGTGGCAGGAGTGCAGGTCCTGGGGACAGAGGCAGAAGGCCTCAAGGTTTGCTATGAAGCCTCCCAAGACACTGGGCTTGCAGCCGCTGCCTATGGGGGCACCTGCTCGGTCCGAGATGACCTTTTCAGCTGCCCTCGCCACGAGGGCCTGATGTCCAGCTCTCCTGAGCACCCTTTGACCCCTGGAGCCACCTCCTGGCTCACAGACCTCTGCGCCTCCAGCCACAGGGAAGGGGCCTGGAGCAGACAGCCAGGGCCTGGGGCCCTAGGACACAGCCAGGCCCTGCCCTGGGCCTGTCAGGCCATAGACATAGCCCAGCTCTGCCCCCGAGGGTAGGGGTGGCCGGATGCCTCTGGCTCAAGGCTGGGTGAGGGGAGCCTTCTGAATGCTCCCGCGCACACTCCCTGAGCAGGCCTCACCGTGTCCACTGAGACCTCTCGCCTGCCATCTTGGCGAGCTCCGGCACACCCCGGCAGGCCCCTGCTCGCTCGTGCACAGGCAGCGGACGCTCCTGAAGGGGAGGTTCTGAGGCAACAAGGACTCCAAGCAAGAGGGTCGGGCATTGAAAGTGGGTGAGAGCGTGCAAAGAGGCTGCGAGCGCATGCTCCACGGGGCAGCGACTCGCCGGTGTCAGCGCCGGCCACGGGTCAAACATGCCACAGACAGAGCCATGGGGGAGCAGGCGGCAGGAGGGGTCTGATATGAGCATATCTATCCAGTTTCTCAATTGCATGTTTGCAATGAACTCCTTATACATAACATGGAATTTATTAAATATTAACAGTTGTCTTTGAGGGTTTCTATTTCATTGCATAGAACGTTAGAGATGAGACTGTGGCTGTGCCCAAGAGACAGAAAGTCTCCGAGGGCAGGGCCTGGGAGGGCGGCCGCCCAGTCCACCAGGTGGGTGGAGGGAGCCACACTCCCCAGTCCAGGGCGCTGGGTCCGCCCCGGCCAGAAGCCTGGCCTCTGCTGAGAGCCGCCCTGGTGATGGCTTAAGAAGGACTGGATTGCACAGTAAACAGGCGGCGGGCTCCCGAGGCCTCGCCCCAGGGTGTGCTCTGGGCGGCCTGCTGCCCACTATTGCTTCGGAGTCAGCCTCCTCCCTGTGCTGAGCAGGGACTGAGCAGCGAGGGACCAAACCGTCAGTCACGGAGGGGTGGAGGGAGGGGAGTCCAGGGGTGAGCAAAGGAGAGGCGGAGGGAGAAGGAGAAACCAAAGAAAATGTTCATGAGGTATACACGTAAACCAACTGAAATGTTAAGGCTGCTCTCGAAATCAAAGGAAACCCCCAGGTGTGAGGGGGGAGCCAGCTGTCGAGACGATGGCGGTGCCCGGGAGCGATGGCTGGGGAATGGCTTTGAGATGGCGGCCCGCGCGGGCACTGCCACCGTGGGCTGCGGGAGCCTCAGCCAGGGCCCACGCTGCATTTCGGTGCTATGGCCTCTGGTTCCAGCAAGGAGACAGTGTTAGGTCCTAGTGTTTGTCAAGTCCTCCCGACCCACGACAGCACACGGAAGTCTGCTCCGATGTCACCGGAGGGCAGGCTGTGGGGCAGGGCCCTGCGGCTGCAGAGGGAGGTGGGCCAGCTGGAATGTGGAGGAAACGGCCGGGGCCCAGCTCTCAGTCCCAGGCTGTGGAAGAACTGGCCGCGTGGAGGGAGGCAGCGTCTGTGGGAAAGGCAGCGTGAGCCAACTCTGTGTATAACGCATGGGAAGCCGGCTGGCCAGGCCGCAGGGTCTGCAAAGAGGCTCTTCCCTCCCCGGCCTGAAAGCGGCGCCCCAGGAGAGCAGGGGCTCCGGAAAGTCAAGCAGGGGTCCGGCAGGTGGTCCCACTTGTCCAGCGGAGGCCGCCCACCATGTCCGTCCCTCCGGCGAGTCTGGGAGCCAAGGGTGCGCCAGATTGTAGATGCTTGGAGGCGGGAAGGAGGGAGGCAGGAAGGAAGGAAGGAGGGAGGCGGGAAGGAGGGAGGTGGTTAGGAAGGAAAGAGGATTTTGTCAAGAGCTGTGGACAGCTGCTTCCCACCCGCGCTCCTCTCAGCTGCCTGCCACACGCCATGGCCTCCTCCCCACTCAGGCTCCCACCCGAGGCTGGGGGATGGGTGCCCGGCCGCTTTGAGTCAGAGACGGACAGGAAGAAGCAGAGTCAGGTGGGCCAGAAGGGATGCTCCTGTAACACGACTGCTGCTCTTTGCTCTGCGTCAGAGGAGGGAGTGGGGTTTGTTGACATGGCAGCCTCTCCAGCCACCAGGACACGGCCTCGCACAGCAGCGCTGCCTGCTCGCCCCCCGTTAGCCGAATGAGAGCTGGCGGGAGACCCTGTGACACGCAGTGAGCAGCTCAGCGGTCCACCCACGTCATGTGGCAGGACACAGAATCAAGCCACGCCCGGGCTTCCTGTCCCTTCCCAGGGACAGAGCTCCAGCCCTAAACCCAATGGGCACGGCCAGGAACCTGATGTCACAGGTGCTGCAGGCTGCGCGAGGAGTCACCCGGCTGAGCAGGAGAGGGGCAGGGAGCCCGTGTCGTGGGGTGAAGGCAGGCAGAGCACTGGGGGTGCTGCTCTGTGGCCACTGGAATTAGGATACGGGCCAGGCTCTTCACTTTGGCTGCCCCCGTCCCACCTCCCCCCGCAGGCACCCGCCCCCAGCCTCACCCGTACCCTCTCCCGCCAGGCTAGGCCTCGGGCGTGCTGGCTGCTGGTCCGAGGCCCACCTGTCGCCTCGGCACCGGATGCTGTTCCCCTGCACCCGCCCAGCCCCCTCTCGGTCTCCCTCGCCCTGACCACTGTCTCTAGGGCAGACCCTTTTGCCCCGACTTCATGGGCTCAGCGCGTGTTGTTGCTTCAGAAACCACCATTTGGACCTAACTTTCACCTTGAACCTTCTGTCCTCTGGCCCACTCAATGGACTGTCAGCTTCTGAGTGCAAGGACGTGGTTCTGGCCCCGCAGTGTCCCCAGCACGGGAGCAGGCCCGGCCCTTGCCTAGGGCTGGCGAACCGTTTCCGGAATAACTGAGTGAGGGGGTGAAAGGCTGGCCCTCCCCTCCTGTCCCCCTGCTCCTCCAGAGGCAGGCAGCCCCTCGACCCCACCCAGCGCCTTCCCACGGCAGGCCTGGCGCGGGGCCCTCTGACTTCTCGCTGCCCTCCTGGCCCTGCCGCCCACGCCCGCCCACAGGAGAAGCACTGGGCCTCTGTGCCCAGCCTGGGAGCGGAGAGGAAGCGGGGGAGGCCGGTCCACGGCTGCAGGAGGGGCTGGCAGTGCACAGAGCGGCACCACGGGCCAGGCCCTCCTTGCCATCTGCATGCCATGCCTCTCCTCGCCAGCGGCAGGGCCACGCCAGGGAAGGCTCCGGGGGGAGGACCCCACCCCGCCTGGGCCCTTTCTTGCCCCCGGGCTGACCTGGGCTGGGACGAGCCTACCCGTCTGGGACCTCCCTCCTCTGTCCTTTCTCGTCTCCCCCACTCACTCTGTTCTGCAGCGACAGTGTATGACCTCAAGCTCGGTGTCTCCGTCACACGCAGGCACTGGGCCTGACCCTCCGCCCCGCCCGCCCTGGTCCCCACTCACTGTTATACGCAGAGTCCAGAGCTGCGCCCAGGCCTCGGACTCCAGACGTTTTCCACAACAACGACGCCACCTCCCTCCATCTCATCGAGAGCCTGAGAGCCTACGGAGCGCATGGAGGTTGGGAGGAGCCGCATCCAGCCCCACCCAACGCCCACTCCTCGCTGGGAGAGCCCTGGGGGCAGGGGTGCTGGAGAAGGACAGGGATGGGAGCCCTGCTGCCCTTTGCTGGGACCGTGTGGGGCGCAGGGACTTGCTGAGCCAGCCTGTGTTGGGGCCTCTGGGCAGAGGGTCCCTCCTGTCCCTCCTTCTCCTCCTCCCCCCACACTCAGAGGAGGGGGCCCTGCGGCTCTGGCCACATCACCTCCCGCTGAAGCCCAGACTCCGCCTCCCAGGACCCCAGGACCCCAGGACCTAGAGCGGGTGAGCCCCTTCCGGCCGTCCGGGGAGGGAGTGGGTGCAGTAGCTCATACTCACCCCTCCGGGCAGGGTCACCAGAACGAGGAGAATTTTTTGCCAAAAGCAGAGACCGCTGTGAGGTGGAAAGGAGAGAGGCATCAGGCTCCCTCCTGGGCGGGGTCGGAGGGCACAGGGAAGCCAGTGCAGCCCAAGAGCCCCCAGCTGGCCCAGCCCAGGGACCGAGCGGAGGCAGCCCCCAGACCCAGCTCCGGCTGCAGGGCCTGGGACAGCGCCCACCGGCACCTGGCATGGGCAGCGCTCACCTTCTGTCAGTTTGCCCGCCTGCTCCGCGGCCCCCCCGGGGAGGATCTTGGAGAACACGCTGTCCCCTTCGGCCCCTGGCTGGCCAGCGGGAGCCCCTGGGGTGCCTCCGGGCCTGGCTCCAGCTTTCATACCTGTGGGGAGCGGGGGAGAACACCGTCACAGCCAAGCTTGACCTGGCTCCTGGAGCTGAGGGAGACGGCGTGAGGGCGTTGAACACAAGTCCAGGGATGGGGGGAGGACAGAGGAGTGAAGAGGGAGGACAGGAAGAAGAGGGTGTGAAGAAGGTCAAGAAGGAAAAAGGAGGGAAAGACGAGGAGGACGGGAGTCAGGAGGAGGAGGAGGAGGAGAAGGAGGAGGAAGGAGAGGAGGAAGTCAAGGTCCTGCTTTGGGCTCCCGTCCCTCTCAGGTCCCTGCCGAGGCTCCGGTGGGGACCCCGTGCTCATCCTAAGAGGCTCGTCCTCTGCCGGGGAGGCCACAGCCCAGGCCCCTTCTCAGGAGCAGTGGGGCCTGCGGTGCCGGGAGCAGGGGCACGGTGGGTGCGGGGGCAGCCGGCTCTCTGCGGCACAGGCGAAGGCACCAGTGAGGCTCACCTGCAGGTCCAGGTCCTGGCGGTGGCTGAGCCTGCGGGGGCCTCCCCTGCTGGGCCGCTTTGGCTGCCCCTTTAGAGCCAGTGGTCTGCTCTGTCCGCGGCTGCAACACAGAACCCAGAGCTGAGCGCTGCCGTGGACCGCGCCCAGCAGGAGCCAAGGGGATGGCCAGGCTGCGGCCGCCGCCCTGGGGGGCTGAGCCCTGGGGCCCCGCTTACCGCTCCTGCTGGCTGGGAGCCTGCGGCGGCCGCGGGGCCCGGCTGAGGCTTCCCGGCTGGCTGGCTGGCGGCAGGGGCGGGACCCCGGGCGGCTGGCTGGCCCTGCTGCTGTGGCCGCGCCTGTGGCGTCTGCTGGGGGGGCTGTGGCCCGGGGCCCTGCGGCTGGGGCTGGGGCTGGGGCTGGGGCTGAGGCGCACGTGCTGCTGCTGCTGCTGCTGCAGGCGTCTGCCTGGCCGGAGGCTGCTGGGCCGGCTGAGGCCCTGGAGGCGCCTGGCGAGCCTGCGGCTGTGGCTGGGGTTCTGGCTTGGGCTGCGGGGCCTGCCGGGAGCCCTTCTTGCTGTCGGAGGCGTGGTGGTAGGCTGAGGGCGCACGGGGCGGCTGCGCGTACTCGGCGGAGCTGGGGTACCCGGGCTGGCCCTTCCTCTGCGTGGTCGTGGCCGGGCCGGGCTGAGGGGCAGGCCGGGCCTCGTGGCGGCCCGGGTCCCGAGCGTGTGGTTTGGCAGCGCGCCGGCCTGGCTCCTCGCCGGCGTGGCGGCCTGGGTGCCGCCCGTGGTCTCCGTGGTGCCGGTGCTCCTTCGCTCCGGCGTGGCGGCCTGGCCCCCCCTCCTCGTGCGGCCACAGGCCCTCCTCGGGGGGCTCGTCGTAGTCGTGGTAGCTGTGCCTGGCGGGGCCGCGCTTCTGGGAGGAGGCGGCTGCGTGGCCCCCGTGGTGCCTGAAGCGGTCCGAGCGGGCGTCCCGGGGCTTATCGAACCAGTCCGTCTCCTCCTGGCCCAGGTGATACGCTGCAGAGACCAAGCAGAACAGCATCACCCAGGCCGGCGGGGGCCTCGCGGAAGCCACGCAAGGACACCAAGGCGGGCACCACGGCCACCAGCCACACTGGGACCTGCCCCCGCCCACAGCCAGGCCAGGGTGCAGGTGGAGAAGGTAGGGGCCCGGGAAGGAGGCGCCAGGCCAGAACCCCCGGGGACAGATCGGGGCCCAGGACCCGGGGGTGGGAGGCCCCGTGCTGGGCCCGCAGCCGTCACCCACAGCCGTTACCTTCGCTGTCGGACACCACACAGTGGGCATCGTCCAGGAGGTAGCCCTCCTCGCGCTTGTACGTGTGGGCCCGCGGGCCGTTCCTGACGTGCTCCTGGACGTCGGGCATGGAGTGGCTGGAGCAGAACTGCGGGCAGGTGTCTCCAGGAGGGAGGGCATCCCCCGCGGGGCGGGGCCGTCCCAGGGGGCTGACGGGGCTCTCCTCCTCCGAGGCCTGGCTCCGCATGGGGGGCCGGGCCCGGCCGTGGGCCATGCTCAGGGAGGAGGGCTTGGGGCCTGCCTTCTGAAGGCGCTCCACAGCCTCGCGCTCCCGCTCGTAGCCCTTGCCCCGGCTGCCGAAGTCGTGGCTGGACAGCTTCTCCCCGCTGTACGCCGCGGGGCCCCGGGACCGGCTGCTCCCGCCGTACACGCGGTCGTCCTCCTCCACGGCGTCCCGGCTGGCCGCCCCGTAGTGCCTCTGCTGCTCATACACGTTCTTCTTGAGCCCGTAGGTGATTTCGTCCTGGAACCTCCTGCCCCGGAGGGCCAGGCCGCTGCTGCCCGCGGCGGGAGGGTAGGAGGCCAGGTCTGACTCCACATCCCGGGCTTCTTCGATGGGCGAGAACTTGGAGACCTTCTGCTCCATGCCCTGCTTCCGGTGCTTGCTGCGCTTCGAGATGGCGGCCGGGGCCAGGCTCTTGGAGGGGTGCTTGGGCCCCGTGGGGCCTGGACCGTACTTGTCTGCGCGAGCCCCTTGGCGGTAGTCGCTGTCACCGTAGTAGTGGGTGCTGGCGGCCCGGCCGTCGCTCTCCATGCCCCGGTGGGGGCCGCTCTTTCCACGGGGGTCGTAAGCGTCTTCCTCGGACTCTTCCTCCCCCCGGGCATAGCAGCAGGGCAGTGTGGGCCCCTCAAGGGCCCCTGGCTCTCCTGGCTCCTTCCCTGGACGCCCACCGCCGCTCGGGCCCAGGAGCTCCAGTCGCTGGCTGTCCAGGGCCGTGGAGGTGCTGTCCTTGGTCAGCTCACTGATGTCATCGATCGTCACATAGTTCCGAGGGACGGTCTGCTCCAGGCTGGCGTAGTGAGAGTCAGAGGGGTAGGTGGGCGCTGGGCCCGTGCTGCTGCGGTCACTGGCCCGGGGCAGCTCTGGGGTCTTGCTCTGCTCGTAGCTGCTGCTCATCACGGGGCCACTGTAACCGGTTTCGGACGGGGCTGACGACATGGCCACGGCGGGGCCGGCGATCACTTCGTAGTTGGTGGGCACCTTCTGCTCCAAGTCGGCTAGTGATGTCTGGCGTGGCTTTGGATGGGGGGCACGGCTGTCGGCCGGGACTGGGTAAAGGGTGCTCTGTGTGGTTGGCATGGGTGTTTGGGCTGCATAATGGCCTGTGGGCCGGAAAGCCTGCTGGCTTTGCAAACCAGGCTCAGCAGGGTAACTGGTGCCAGGAGGAAAGGCAGGCGCTGGGTACGTGCTGGGGCCAGGGTAGGCAGGTGCCTGGTGGGCTGGGAATCCGTTGGGAGTCGGCCCGGCGCTGCCTGCAGAGTACTGCGGGGCCGGAGCGGCGAGCCGGGGCTGCTGGAAGGCAGCGGGGCCGGAGGGGGTGGCGGGAGCCGCGGCGGAGATGGGGAAGTCTGCGTACTGTCCGGGCGTGGCGCAGCCCTGGAGCCGCAGCTGGTTGAGCTCGCTGTCCGACAGGTAGTCCCGATGCTCCCCCAGACCTCGCAAGGGCGCGTAGTCGCGGCCGCCCCGGTCTTTGGCCAGAGACTCCTTGCGCTGCGTGATGCCCAGCTCCAGGTACTTGAGCTTGGCGTCGATCTCTTTCTCCTCTTCGTCCAGCTCTGCCTGCTTCTTGCGCAGCTTGGTGGACTCATGCTCCACCAGCCGCAGGTCCCGGTCCAGCTCCCGGAGCAGGCTGGCCTTGGCGGGGACAGCGGCGGGCAGCCCCCGCTGCAGCAGGCTGGCCGCGTACAGCTGGGGGGGGGCCTGGCCAGCCAGGGGCAGGTGGGCCTCCTCGGGGGGAGGGCTGGGCAGTGTCCGCTTCACCTTGCGGACCAGGCCGTTGGGCGGCAGCGCCGACACCTGAGACAGAGGGAAGGGCGGGAGCACTGAGACCCAGGGTGTGGGTGGCTTGGCGGGGCACAGGGTGGAAGAGCCCTGGCTTTGGTGGGGCAGGGGCTGGGTTCCATACGGCCGGGCCGGTGCCCTGATTCAGCAGGCAGCCTCGAGGCCCGCCCGCCCCGCCCCCGGCCTGTGGTCCTTGCCTGTGCTCTGGGCACAGGGCGGGGAGGGCAGCTGCCCCGGGCTCTCTCCAGCACCGGCCCGGCTCCGAAGACATCAGAGCACGGGGCTCTGAGAAGCCCGGCTGACGCCCACGGGTGGCCCTGCGCCTCCCACCGAGGCCCTGAGGGGAGGAGGTGCGGGTCGGGCTCTGGGCGTGGTCCCCTCGCTGTGGGGACAGGGCAGTGAGGAGGGACGTGGGTGCAGGGAGAGCGCCCCCAGCAGGGCAGGCGCCCAGGGACCCTGGACGGAGCACGGGCTGACGGGGTGTCAGCTGCTGCTGCTCTGGGGCCTTTGCTGCCTCCTGCCCCTCCTCTCTAACGTGACCTGCACCTCGGCTGCCTGCCACCCTCCTCCCCCAGCTGCCCGGCACCCCCGCCACACCCTGTGGCTGTGCTGGCAGCCTCGCCCCAGCTCCCTCCGCAGCCCTGACTGAGCCCCACTCTCTGAGTCCATCTCCTGGGTCACGGCTGCCGTGGGGGGAGGTGTGAGGGCCTGACGGCTGCCTCCCATCCCCTCCTCGCTGCTGGAAGGTTTGCCCTGGGCCCTCCTTTTGTCTCTGGCTCTTCGCCTTCCCAGAAGGCCCCAGGCATGGACTACCCAAGCCCCCAGAATGCAATGGGGCCTGTCATTGGGCTTCTCACACTTTAGCTTTCGAAGAAGCTGCATGACAATCCCGCCCACTCTCACTGTACGTCAAGCGACAGTGAGCCCCCAGACCTCTGAGCAAAGGGGGGACCTTTCATGGGACAGGCTTCACTGCTGGAACTTGGGCTGTGTCCGTCTTGTTGCTTTGGCTGCACCGTGAGTGCTCACTGGCGTGGCCCCACATGGCCAGCCCTGGGACTCTGTCCCCTGGAGCCAGGCCACCTCCTCTCTGACGGCCCTCCCTGCCAGCCCAGACTCCTGGCCCCACCTCACCCCTCTGGCCTGCACACCCGGGCTCTGCACAGCCCCCGAGGCCCCGCCTCTCTCCTCTGCATCAGACCCAGGAGACGGCAGATACGCCCGGCCGCCCTGGCCTCTGCAGTCTGTTCCTACAGCGCTGCGCCAGGAGGCTTTCCGAGAGGCCGCCATGTCCTGTCTCCCCGCCTAGAACCTCCAAAGACTCCAAGGGCTTTCGAAAGACGCCCCCTCCTCAGCCTGCACTCGGGTCCTTGGCGTCAGGCCCTCACCCCCTCACCCCCCACGGCTGCGCGTGCAGGCCACCTCTCGTAGTCCCTTCAGCAGCTACAGCCACAGACCAGGGTCGCTATGCTCCGGGAGCTCGGGGGGGGTGGGGGGGGGGAGACAGGTGTGCAAACAGACTTGCTGAAGGCCAGAGGGGCAGAGCGCCCCTGCAGCCGGCTGGGTGGCCCTCAATGCCACGCAAGGGCTTGGGCTTCGTGTGGGGCAGTGGGGGCCAGGCCAGGGCTGGGAGGGGGGACAGTCACTGGGCGGGACAGGTTTCTCAGGAAGCACCCACCTGGAGGTGTGGAGTGGAAAGGGCCCAGCAGGAGGGCTGGGGAGGCTGAAAGGGGGTGTGGGCCCTGAGGAGGCGGTGCTAAGGGGGCAGCAGCTCCTATTGGTGTCTGCACGGACGGTGCAGGGCCCATGGGGTGCATCTGCCTAGGACGTCCTGGCCAAGCGCAGGCTCCACACGAGCCTCAGGGAAAGTTCTGTCCCCCACTCCTTCCTCTGGAGCCCAGTCCATCCCCCAGAAGCCTTCCCTGGGGGCCCCAGGCTAAGCAGAGACCCCGGCCCCACCCTGGACCAGCCCCTGTGCCCATACCTGGCTCCCCAGCCCCCCCTGGTGCTGGTAGAGGGAGAACCTCTCTTTGGCAGACTCCTCGGCGGTGGGGCTGAGGGGCTTAGGGTCGGACAGAGACCGCTGCAGGGTCTTCACGGGGCGAGGCAGCGTCTGCTGGCGGAGCGTGCCGTCGGCCGCGAAGTGCTTCTGGGGACTCACGTGAGCCTTGCTCAGCCTCTCGCTGGAAGCAAAGGGCGCGTCCAGGAGCCGGTGTGGGGACAGGGGCGAGACTGGCGAGTAGAGGACCTGAGGGGACTTGGGAGGCTGGCGGCTCACCAGCTGTGAAAGGGACTCCGGGGGCAGGTGGGCCTGGTAGCCGATCTCCAGGGGATCCGGCTTCTTTTTCTCGAATCTGCCCAGGGGCCCTGGGGTGACGAGGTGGATGCCGGGCAGGTAGGGGCTGATGGCGGCGGGCCCTACGAGCTGCGGCCCGGCCCCGCCCTGGGCCTGCCCGTCCGGCTCCGTCTGGCAGGCCAGGCTCTCGCCGCGCCCAGTCTTCTCCGGCGCCGATATGTACCTGACGATCTCCACCTTGGGGTCAGTGGCCGCCGTGATGTGGATGGCGGGAGAGACCCTGGGCAGCTGGTCAGGCTCCGTCTGCACGGAGCAGTCGCTGATGGTCTGGATGCCCACGCTGCTCGTGGCCCTGGCGGGGGCGGCTGTAGAAGACGAGGCCACAGCGTCGTGCTTGCTGTCCGAACCTGAGTCCGAGTGGCGGGAGAGGCGGGGCCGGCGGCGGCGCACGGGCTGCTCCCACTCGGCGTTGTCCTCCTCGTCCGTCTGCACGCTGCAGTCTGCGCTCCGCCGGGTGCGGCGCCGCCGGCTCAGGAAGTAGCGGCCCTCCCCGTCCTCGTCGTCCGTCTGCACGCTGCTGTCCGCAATCCTCCTGACCGGACCGGGCTCGGGCCCCGGCTCCGCCTCGAAGGTGTCCCGCAGCCGTGGCATCGAGTGGCGCTTCCGGAGGCCACTGCGGCCGGCCTCCCACGGCTCCTCCGTCTGCAGCGACATGTCTGAGGCAGAGCTGGGGAGGCCACGGTGTAGCACGGGCTCCCGGGGCTGCCCCGGCCCCTCGGGTCCTGCCACGGCGATGAAAGCCGCGTGGGTCAGGGGCGGCCAGTACTGGCCATTCTGAGCCAGCTCGTTGGCCGCCGGGGGAGGCCCTCGGCCGGGTCCGTCACAGACCACGGGGAAGGGGGCCTTCTGCCTCTGCTTTTGCTCCTCCAGCTGCTGCTGCAGCTGCTGCTGCAGCTGCTGGATCTGCTCCAGCTGCAGGCGCTGCTGCGCCAGCTGCTCCCGCTGCAGGGCGAACTGGGCCTGGCGCTCCTCCCGCTGCTGCTGCAGCACGTGGTGCTTGATGGTGTGCAGCTCCTGCAGCTCCCGCTGCACCAGCAGCTGCTCCTCCTCTCGATGCCTCTGCAGCTCCACGCGCTCCCGCTCGAGCTCCTCCTGCAGCCGCAGCTGCCGCAGCTTCTCCAGCTCCACGCGCTCCCGTTCAAGCTGCAGCATCTGCTCCTGCTGCTTCCGCTGCCTCTCCTCCTGCGACGCTTCCTCTCCTCCTGGCCGGCCGGGGGCCCCACTGCCGCTCGCGGGAGCAGCATCTCCTGCTGGCTTCTGGCCGGCCAGGGGCGCCGGGGCCGGAGCAGCCACCACCTCCTTGGCGGCAGCAGGCGTGGCTGTGGAAAAAGGCTCTTGCCGGGCGGCCCCTCCTGGCGGCTCTGGCCTCGCTGGGCCCCCGGCCGCGGGCGCCTTCGCAGCAGCAGGTTTCCCCAGGTAGACGGGACCCTCGGCGGGCGGCATGCCGGACACGGGGGGGAACCTGCTTGGGGCAGGGTATCGGTACAGAGGCACCCGGGGGGCAATCGCCGGCACGCGTGTGAGGCTGCTGAGCGGCATAGCCGCGACCCCGCCCGATGCGTAGGGCCGGTACAGGCCGCCACGCACCATGGGCCGCAGCGCCGAGCCGGGCTGGGTGGTGATGGGCAGTGTCGCCGCAATCGGGGTGTTGATGGTCGAGTAGATCATGCCGTCGGCGGCACGCACGGTGGCCGTGGATGGCAGCAGCTGTCGGACGGCCGCTCCCTGGGCCGCAGGCCTGTACTGGGGCAGGGCCCCAGGGTTCGGGTGGGCCTCCGGGAAGGTGGGGTTCCCAAAGGGGCCAGGTCTGAGTGGGCCCAGGCCCTGTGGGGCGCTGAGCCCAGGCCCAGGCTGGGGCTGGTACTGCATGAGGTCAGGGCCGCCACTGCCACTGCCACGCCGCCCTCCATACTGGTCCATGGAGTCGAGGGCCGCGCACATGCGGCTGATCTCGCGGGCTGTGGTGGCGCTGTACTGGGCCAGGCTGGCCTCCTGGAAGCCCGCGGCTTCTCCCCGGGGGCCATACCTGTGGTCTGAGTAGATGTTGGACACGGAGCTGTAGCGCCGCATGGGCAGCGGGTGAGTCAAGGGCTCTGTGGGGTGGCGCAGGTCCGTGAACGAGCCGTACTGCAGGCCCTGCCCCAGGTAGCGCCCGTCCGCAAAGCCCAGGCTGTAGGACTGCCTCAGCGAGCTGAGGTCCATGGCCGAGTCTCGCCCCGGGCCCTGGAAGAGCTGCCCCATCCTGTGGGCGTGGTAATTGAAGCTGGCCTCAGCCAAATTGGTGTCAGACATGGAGGAGTACAGCCTGCCTGGGAGGCCCAGTGGGTAGGACCTCTGCTCCTCAGGGTGCCCAAGCCCCGCCAGCCCCTGGGCCCGGTAGGTGGAGGGCTCGGGGGGCTCCGGGTCCCGCGGGCTGTAGAAGGGGCCACTGCTCTGGGCCCGTGGGGCGGCCTCGGCCCCACTCTTCTCGGGGGCGCTGGGGGCGGGGTGGAAAGCGCCCGTACAGCTGCTGCCGAAGGGGAACTTGTAGACCACGTCGCAGCACGCCAGCTGGCTCTCGGGCCTCATCCCCGTGAGGTCCACGGCGGCCGCCGGCTCCTCCGGGAGCAGCGTGGTCACAGTGCCTGCCGTGCCCTCTGCCATTTGCACCAGCACCGTGTGTGGCTTCCTGGCACTCAGCTCTGGCACAGGGCCTGCCTTGAGGCCAGCGCTCTGAGCAGTGCCCATCTGAGTGATCAAAACATCTCTTCTGGCCAGAGGTGCCACCTGGCTGGGCAGGTTATACCTGGCAACCTTGGCCTCCCTGGGTCTTCCCCGGGGCCCACCTCGGTACGGGGCTGTCTGGACGGCCTGCTCCACCTGCCTGACCTGGGCCAGGCACACGGGGCTACCTGTGCCCTGGCCGAAGTCGAGGCGGCTCTGGAAGGGGTCTCCATAGACCACAGGCTGCTTCTGCTGAGCCAGGAGCACAGAGGAGGCCACGGTGATGCTCACGGTGGTGGCCGTGCCGATGAAGGCCTGGGTCTGCTCCTGGGCGTTGAGGTTGATGACCAGCGGCTGCACCGCTGTGGACTGCCGCCCGGGGCCCGGGTCCAGGGCCAGGCCGTACTTCCTCGCTTCCACGGCCAGAGAGGTCAGGTCCATGCCCTGGTCAGTGAGGATGATGGGCGTGGGCTTGACGGCCGTGCGGAGGTCCACCACGGCACTGCCCGGGGGCCTGGGGCCGGGCTCCACCCTGGACGTTCCCGGGACGGAGGAGATCCGGCACAGGGAGATGTTCTCGGCAGGGAGGGCGCCCCAGCCGTACAGCGCCAGGGGCCCATCCGCACCGGCACTGGCCGCCCGCGGGAAGCCAGGCGGCCCAGGAGGCTCTGAGGGCAGCGGAGACGCACTCAGAGGGGTGGTCTGGCTGTAGCCGTGGGGGGTGGGCTGCGTGTCGGTGGGGGAGCACACCGGGGAGGTGGAGGCACTGGCATGAACCATCCTGGTCTGGCTGGAGGCCGCTGAGGCCAGTGTGATGACCATGAAGGGGGCCTCCCGAGAGGACTGCTGCCACGCCAGGCGGGGCGCGCCGGGTCCGTGTGGCGTTTGCGTGCCCTGCGCCACCATGGGGGATGGGGTGGGGGCGCCAGGGCTCCGCGGCATGTCCGAGGCAGGGGCCAGGCTTGGCGTCTGTGTAGAGAACTCGGCTGTGGCCCTGGGGCCCGGCTTGCCAGGGGAGAAGGTGGGGCTCTCTGAAGGAGAAGATGGGGAGAGCGGTGGGCTGGAGCCCGTGAAGTAGGCATATCCCTGGGAGGGCGGGGCGGGGCCGCCCTTGCCGTCACTCACACGCAGGGGCTTCTCTCTGGCGGCAGCAGGACCACTGGGCGCCTGGGGCATCTCCTCCGTTTGGGATCCATAGTTTGCGGTAGTCGGGCTCTGCCCATAGCCGTGGGCTGTGGCAGATGGTGAGGGGCTGCGCTCGGAGCCTGCAGGCGATGCCAGAGTCACATACCCTCGAGCCGTGGTGGCTGGGGCCCCCGGGCCCTGGGGAAAGGCTGTGCTGGCCTCCTGGGAGGCAGAGCTGGGGGAGGCGGGAGAGCTGTGCAGCTTGCGGGGGTCCTGAGGCTCCTTTGCAAAATGCTGGGTAACTCGGACGTCAGGAATGACCCGGCCGCCACTGCTGTCGGAGGAGGTGGAGGTGGAGGTGGAGAAGGGCACGGGGGCAGCGAGCTGGGTGGGGCTGGTGCCCGGGGTGAGCGGGCCGCCGTTCTGCTTCATGGGGTCCACGTACGCACTCTCGGCGTTCAGAAACTGCTTCTCCTTCTTGTCCTCGGCGAAGGCCAGGTCTCGGGAGGAGGCCTGCCGCCCGCGGGCCAGGCTCTGGGACGTCTGCAGGGTCTCCTCGTACACGGCTGCGCCCAGGCCGGCGGGCACGCCCTCCGCAGGCAGCGGGGCAGCCCGGCTGTAGTCACGGTCTGGGGCTTCCTGGAACTCAAAGGAGCCCTGGGCCCGGGGGCCTTCGGGCTGAGAGGGGCCACCCTGGGGCCCTCGGCCCCCGGCCGCCTGGCCCTGCTGCCGCTGCTGCAGCAGCTCGGCCTTCCGCATCATGTCCTCATAGGCCTCCTCGGCGCTCTTGAGGGGCCGCCCGGCGCTGGGGATGCCGGAGCTGCCCGCGGGCGGCTCTGTGGGCGAGTAGAGGGACATGAAGGTGGGCAGGCTGTACTCGCTGCCTGACTTGTAGAGCCGGGCGGGGCCGTCCAGGGCCTCGGCCTCCGAGTCCAGGGAGGGCGAGGGCGAGTACTCGGAGCAGGAGGAGCGGTGCAGCTCCTCCATCTCGGCCGCCTGCCGCAGCTCCTCCGTGGGGGAGGCGTCCTCGATGGGCGACAGGTTGCTGGGGGGCGTCTTGGAGCGCTCACGCCGGCGCTGGGCCCGAAGCTCCTCCTTGTCGCGCCGCGTCTTGCGGACGGTGCTGCGGATGCGTTGCTGCTCCACCTCCCGCATCTTCTCCTGCTCCCGCAGCAGCTCCTCCTCCTCCCGCAGCTCCTCCTCCTCCGAGGAGTCCTCGATGGTGGGCAGCAGGGGCCCGTGGGAGCGGTGCCGGGCCTTGCGCTGCTGCTTCGCTTCCTCCAGGCGCTGCCTGCGGCTGGGGCTGCTGTCGCTGTCCTCCTCCAGGGAAGACAGGGAGGTGGGCGAGGTGCCCGAGGTGTAGCTGGGCGTGGAGGCGGGCAGCGTGGAGGAGTGCTCCCCACGGGAGCGGTCCTCAGGCGAGCCCGTCAGGCTCTCCATCTCCAGCTCCGGCTCGCGGTCCAGGCCGGGGTCAGCGCCTGGGGCCAGGTCCAGCTCATGGCCGTAGCTGCCTGTGCTGTTGAGCTCGATGGTCTTGAAGCGGCGGAGCCCACCCTGCAGGGCCCCGGTGCCGTCGACGGCCTCTGCGGGGCCTCCCTCGGAGAGCAGCTCCTCGTAGCCCGTGGTGGCGTTGTGGGGCAGGCGCCGCTTGGGCAGTGCCGCTGCCTCCTGGCTGGGCTCGGGCCTGGGCCTGGGCCCGCCCTTCGGGGTGCTGTGTTTGGCCAGGCCATGCCTGGGGGTGGCCGCGTCCTCCTCCTCCAGGTTGTCCTCCTCGGCGCTCATCTCCAGGATCTGCCGCCGCATGAACTCCTCGTCGGTCATCGCTGCTGCCCGGGCGGGGGGCTGGGCAGGGAGCGGGGACAGGCCGCCCTCGCTGCTGTCCTCCACGTAGTCGTGCCGCAGCTGGCAGCCAAAGTCGTCCGAGGACTCCGCCGTGTCCCGCTGCTCCCTCTCGCGCCCCCACTCCAGGGAGTCTTCCTCCTCCTCCAGGATGTCCTCCAGCTCCTCATCGGAGTCGAAGGCCTCAGGCATGATGGACAGGGAGTGGGGCCGCCGCTTTTGCTCCTCAGTGCTGCTGCGGGGCGCCTTGCTCCGCTCGCCACTGGAGGCTGGGCCCTGGGCCTGCAGGGAAGGCCGCACGCTGCCCGTCTTGTGGAGCTGGGAGGGGCTGGGCGGGCGGGGCCCGGTCACCCCTGCGCTGTCCAGCTGCTCCCCCTCCTGCTGCACCACACCGGTGATCTCGCTTTGGGAGCTGGAGACGCCGTCAGAAGAATAGCCCGTGTCACTGAGGCTCTGTGGGCTCCGGGACAGGTCCTGGGAGTAAGGCTTGCCCACCAGCTCCTGCAGCAGGCGAGAGGCAAAGGCTGACCCCCATGCAGACAGCTCCTCGGAGCCCCGCCCGCTCCATCAATCCCAGCGCCACCCAGGGTCACAGCCCCACCTCTCCGCCTCTCTGGCCTTAAATAACCCGCAGGTTCCCAGGCAAGCCCCAAGCAGCCTTAGGTTCTCAGAGAAACCTGACTGGTTCTAATGGTAGCAAAACCCAGCAAAGCATGCAGCAGGCAGCAGGCAGAGAGCTAGCTCATAGCCCACAGCTGCAGCCCCCACGGCCTCACAGAGGCCGCCCTGCCCTCCTCTGGGGCCCAGGGGCCCGGCCGACACCCCAGCCCCAGGACCCGAGCCGTCCCTAGACGTGCACCTGAGTTAGGGTCCCCACGAAGCGAGTGGCACTGACCTCGGCCTCCCCACCCTTGGGGGCTTCTGGAGCAGCCTTGACGGCGGGGGTGGCGGGCTCGGTCCTCCGCGCCCCGGCCTTTGCCTTAGGAGTCCCAGGGGGCAGGGCAGTCTCTGGAGGTGGTTTCGGCACAGGCTCCGCTTTAGCCAGGGGCCCCGTCTTCTTTTCCTGGGCACTGCTCGGGGTCCTGCTGGGCTCAGAAGCCCTGAGGGGCTTTGCTTGGGGGCTGGCCTTGGCGGGCAGGGGGCCTGAGGGCTGGCCCGGCCCCTGGGGCCCTTTCTGCTTCGGAGGGGCTGTTCCGGCCGCACGGTGAGGGGTCCCGGTGGGGGGCTGCGGCGAGGCGGGCGGGGGGCGGGGGGCTGGCTCCCCCAGGCTGCCCTCCAGCAGTCGCTTCGTTTGGCAGTTCAGACAGAGCCACTCGGATTTCTGTGAGGAGAGGAAGGGAAGTGGGGTCATGGAGACACTGAGTACTCAGAGTATGTCCATGACCCTCTGTAACCCGGAGGAGGAGAAAGCCTTCTAAGGCGGGCACCAAGCACGTGGGGAAGACTGGTGGGTGTGTTGCCCCCAGATGGCAGACTTTCCCAGGCTTAAAGGCTTTCGTAGCCCGGCCGGCGTGGCTCAGGCGTGAGCGTCCACCTATGAACCAGGAGGTCACAGTTCGATTCCTGGTCAGGGCACAGGCCCGGGTTGCGGGCTGGATCCCCTGTGGGGGGCGTGCAGGAGGCAGCCGATCAAAGATTCTCTCATCATTGCTGTTCTATCTGCCTCTCCCTCTCCCTTCCTCTCTGAAATCAGTAATTTTTAAAAAGCACGTATTCACAGTTAAAATGATGAAACCAAAAGAAGGGTCCCTTCCTCTCCCCACAGAGAGCTTCCCCGCCAGACAAGGAGTTGGAGGGGAGGAGAGGGGAGGGGAGCATCAGAGGAGGGCATCTCACCTGGTTCCCACGGAAACCGGAGAGGGAGCACGCCTGCCCCTCCACAGCGGGGAGACGGGCGCCCCAAGATCACTGCCCAGAGGCAGCGCTGGGCAGGTCCGGAGCAGAGGCAGCTGCTGGCCTCGCGCCGGACGCCCCCGCCGCCCCGTCCCACACATCACAGGGCCAGGCCCTTTGCCAAGGGAGGCCGAGTGTCTCAAGGGCCCGGCTGGTATTTGCAATTACAATCACATAAGAAACCAGCAGTGTCACTGCAACCATTCCAACTCCACTCATTTCTTCCCAAACCCTATTTTGAACTGAAAGCTAATTAAAAATTAAGCCAGAGGGTACCATTATCCTTCAACAAGATAAATAGGTAAAAAGTCATTATGAAACGACACACTAACCAGCACTACGGGCTGTTTTTGGTTTTTGCAGAGGAGACATCACCAGGAGGAAGGACAGCTTTGCTGCCTCTGCCTCTGTATGTTCTGGGCTCCCTGTCTAGGAAGAGGGTAAAAGATTTTTAAATATATTTTTATTGATTTCAGAGAGGAAGGGAGGGGGACAGAGATAGAAACATCCATGATGAGAATCACTGATTGGCTGCCTCCTGCACGCTCCCCACTGGGGATCGAGCTGGCAACCCGGGCATGCGCCCTGACCGGGAATCGAACCGTAACCTCCTGGTTCACAGGTTGACGCTCAACCACGGAGCCACGCTGGCCGGGCTAAAAGATTTTTGAAGCTCAGAGATGTTGAGGAAAGTTCCCAGCCTGGCAGCCCAAGCAGTTGGGCCCGACCCCAGGTGGAGCCCAGCAGGGCTAAGTGGCCTGAGGGCAGCAGGCAGTGGGTCCCTGGGCCGCCCTCCCTCACGGTGCACTGACAGCACGGCCCTCCCCAGCCTGGCCTCGGCCTTGGCCAAGCGAGGTATGCGGGGCACCAGGCAGCCTCGCCGCGGCTGGAGAAGCGCCTCCCGGCAGGTCTGGGCCCCGTGGAGAAGTCAGGAGCCTCCAACCAAGATCACACCAAGGTCAGGGGACACACCGAATGGCTCCCAATGCCAAGTGGCCATTCGCTGAGTTGAGATCAAAGATAGCCCACCGTCTGGTTAGGGCCTCAGCAAAGAACAACAAGATTGTCGGGGAGGGGAGAGGGGACACCAAGCACCAGCCCCTGGCAAGGCCCAAGGCAGGCAGAGCCCGAGAAGGTGGTGGTCATTGTCTGGGGAGGGAGGGGGAGGGCTGGGCCAGGCGTGGCCATGAAGACGGAGCGGAGAGGCCGGGCCTAGGAGAGTGGGAGAAAGAGCCCGGAGGTGTGGTCGACGAAGTGGACCTGGTGAGAGAAGGGATGCTGAGGAGGACCCCAGGCCGCCCGCCTGCCGCTCTGATGGCCGATGGTGGCACGGTTTGCGGTTCCCGTGGCGGGAACCCCAGGGGCGGGCATGGCTGCCCCCCACACCTCCCCAGGAGCAGCACGGTCCTCTAGGTGGCGGTATTAGCAGGCAGAGCCTCGAGGAGGAGGAGGAGGAGGAGGGGGAGGAGGAGGAGGAGGAGGAGGAGGAAGGAAAGCTGAGCCACTGTGATGGCCACGTGCGCAGGAGGCAGGGAGCCGGGCGCGGGTGGAAGGAGCCAGGACCAGGATGCCAGGCCCACCAAGGCAGCAGTGCAGCGGCCATGGAGACCTCGGCACGTGAAGGGGGCGCAGGGCAATGTAGCCACTGAGAGGCAGAGGCTCGGGAGGGCAAAGCCAAGCAGCTGATGAGACCCAGGGTGGCCTAGCCCCAGGCCAGACGCTAGGTGGCCTAGCGTCAGAACGGTGCCCACAGACCATGGCAACACCACGTCCTGCTCCACTGTCCCACCCTCGGCAGCAGGGTCTGCACTCCCCGCTCCGTGCATGGCTCAGCCCAGCAGGGCCTTGGCTTGGCCCCCCCGCCCCGCCCCCCACATGACAGCAGGGATGGGCCAATCACAGACCCACAGAGGGGACACAGGCCGTTATGTCCAGGGCAGCCGAGCAGGCCCCCAGGGGTCCTGAGCAGGGAGAGTGGGTCCGGGGAGGGTCAGAAGCAGCTCCACCAGGGGGCTCCGCACCATCTCAGCCTCCCAGGCGGGGCCCAGGCTTCTCGAGGGCGGGGGGGGGGGGGGGTGGCGTCCCCTCCCTCTCACCCAGCTCTGCAGGCTCACCACCTTTCCCTGGAGCAGGGGCTGCGGAGAGACAGCCCCAGCCCCCATCTCAAACTCTCCTGCAGCTCGGGAGGGCGCCTCTGAGCGCCCCACAAGCAGGCCCAGGGGAGCAGGCCACCCGGGAAAACACGGACCGAGGCTGAGGCTTTGACAAGCGAACATCAACACCCACCACCAAGGACCTGAGGAAGGGATGGAGGTGGACACCGCCTGGCTGGGCCAGGGCCTGGGCCGCGGGGCACGGCCTGCCCACGGTGAGAAGCCTGCCTTCTCCTGGGCCTACAGCCCTCCACCCCTGTGAGGGGCGCAGGCCAAGGGCAGGTGGGACCCCAGGTTCTTCCTCCCTGGGCAGAGGGGGTTGGCATCTTTCATCAGGTCCTGCCATGAGAGCTGGGAATAGGGGGAGGCAGTTCAGGGCCTCCTGAGCCTGGCAGACCCTGGGACCAGCCTCAGGGCACTAAGCCAGGCAGAGGCAGCAGGCACACCACCCGCACCCACCGTGCCAGTGAGGTCTCTGAGTGGAGGGGCGGCCGGGGCAGGGACAGAAGAGAGGGCAGCCCTCAGGGCATCCGCGGTGGAGGGCGCCCTGAGGCTCAGCCCCAGCTCGCGGGGTCCTTTGCTCCCACTTGCCCGTGCCCCCACGACCCCGGGTCCCTTACCTCCACCAGGTGGGGTGTCGGGTTGAAGCCACAGAGGTTGCACACCTGGAGCTTGCAGGCGGTGCAGGTGTTGTAGTTGGCTGGGCCCTTGCTGCCCACGTTGAGCTCGGCTTGGCACAGTGGGCAGGTGGGCCTGTCCTTCGGCATGGCCTTTGGCTTGGCAGCAGCCTTGGGCACTGCCTGCTGTTCTGCTCGGCCATGCTTTGGGCTGGGTGTCCCCCCAGTTCTCGCCGGGGCTCCGGGCCCTGATACGGCACCTGCCCTGGCTGCAGGCTCAGCTTTGGCTCCAGCTGCAGGCCCAGGCCCGGGCCCTGAGCCTGGGGGTCTCGGGCCAGCATCCTTGCTGGCATCACTGAAGACGATCTTGGGTGGCCCCTTGCTGGGGGCAGGCTGGCCCTGGGCGTCGGCCTCCGGCTGCACGGACATGAGGGTGCTCGCCTGGGTCAGCAGCGACGCGCCGAGACCGAAGAGCTTCCCGGTGAGGCCCTCCTGGGCCTGCTCAGCAGCGCCAGGCCCGGAGGGCACCGCGGTGGCACTTCTGCCCGGGGCCTCTCCCGCAGGGGGCCGGGGCTCGGCTGTGGAAGGCTTGACGGGGTGAGGGGGCTGAGGAGACACCTTCCCCCCCTCGGGAGGGGCAGCTGCCTGGGCAGGTCCCGGCACTGTGGTGGCCTTGGCCGTCTCAGCCGGGCGGGGCCCAGGCTGTGGTCCCCCGGGGCCCCGGGGCCTCTCTTGCTCCGGCTTCCCCAGGGGCGGTTTGGCGGGGGCGTGGGCAGGGGACAGCGCGGGGGAGTGCAGCTGCTGCTGGCTCTTGGAGCGCGGCGCCGAGGTCATGTCCATCCCCAGCGCCCTCTGCATCTGGCAGTTCAGACAGAGCCACTCCTGCACCTGCGGAGGAAGCACTGTGTCAGCAGGCGGCCGGGCCGAGGCCACGGCCGTCGAGCAGCTCCCAGCACAGGGCTCCCAGCCCCGCGGGAAGGGGGTTCCCGGGCTTCCAGGGCCAGGGCTGCGAGGGCAGAGGGCACTACCCTGCCTGCTAGGAGTTGCCAGGCACAGGAAGCAGAGCAGAGGCAGGCACACACTCCCCATCCCACCCCACAACCACCAACCACTGCCCGCCAGGCCCTCCCGCTCGACAGTCCCCCACTGCCCACTGGCTGTGTCTCAGACCTGAGTGCACCAGCGCACCCCACATCCCACCTCACCAGTCCACACCACTGTCCTCCGGCTGATGACCTCACAGCCTCCACGGTCCCCCTCTTCCCCGGCCGCTCCCTCCAGCCATGACCCAGCAGCAGCCAGGAGGGAGGGGAGTGGGCCTGGCAGCCGGTGCAGCCAACATTCAGGGGCACTTGCAGCAAGATGCATAACAGGGCGGGTGAGAGAGGGCGGCCTCGCGTACACAGGCCCTGTCCTGGAGGAGGCCGTCCAGCCAAGGAGGCAGGAGGCAAGAGAACTCCCGAGAGCAAACGGGCGCACAAGGCGAGCGGCCGCCGGGGTGGGCTGGCCCTTTGTCCCTCAGGAAGACAGACGGTTAAGAAAAGGGATGGTCTGTGCCTCCAGAACCAAGACACGTGTTGCTATTCACGCAACAGACGTGCAGTTTCTACCTGTCACCAACCCCTCCCTGCGTCCAGCGGGCATGTGACTCTCGTTGACCAATCAGTGGTTTAGATGGTGGTGCAGGGATGAGCATGTGACCTTGGCAACAGGGCCAGGGGGAGCCGAGCCCTGTCACGTGTGAAGGAGCAAGAGGATCTTTTTCTTCGCATCCTGGAAGGTCAGGAGCCTCCTTCCCAGGACGCTGGGGACACGGGGGGGACGCAGGGGGACATGGGGGGACGCAGGAAGACATGGGGGACGACAGTCCGAAGTGAGCAAGACAGAGGTGCAGATCTGGCTCCTTCACTCTGGACTCAGCTGTCTTGACTCTGCCCTTGGACGTCCAGTCACACGAGCCAATAATACTTTTTCCTCTAAAAGCTCCACACAGAAGCCTGAGCATATACTCATGGGCTCCGACCCCCTGCAGCGGCCACGCTTCCCTGAGGGAGGCCCATGCGCCCCCTGGCCCTCCCCAGCCGCCTCACCCAGACGCGCTGGGCCCTTTCCACCGAGTGTGCTCTGAGTTTGCTTTGCACTCACCCTCCCTCTGCCCCAGGTCTCAGATCGAGAGGGTCCCCATCAGAGCCCTCTCTGGGCCGCTCAGTGTAAGCCCCCGCAGCCCGGGTCTAGTCATGGCTTTGCTGTCTCCACGCGTGGGGTGGGGCTTCCTGGGAAGAGGGGTCTGAGTGGTGAGGCCTCTCATCCTGGACCTTAGGGTGACCCCCCTGGGGTCTTAAGGGGGCTGAACAGAGGTGGCAGGTGCTAAGGCTCCAGCACTCACCCAGAGCCTTCCCTCTGGGCCCGTCAGCCAGGCTGTCAACAGGCGCCTCACCTAAATGGAAGCTCCAGGGAAGGCTGGCAGCCCGTGACTCGCGCCCAGAGCCTGACCACACCCTCCCCGTGCCCAGGTCAGGCCCAGGCAGACACCCGCACGCAGGGCCTCCCAGGGAGGACACTGGCTGGGGGGCTCTCTGAACCCACAAACTCCCCTCTGCCTCCCCCAGATCGCCAGGAGCTTGCTGGCCTCCCCCTCCATTCTCAGAGGATGGAGCTCTCCGCTGGGTCTACATGGCCGGCCTGCAGTAGACTCCCCGGCCCCGGGACCAGCAGTGGTGACTCTTCCTCAACTACACAATGCCCGCAGCTCCTTGGCACTCCCAAGCCGCCGCCCACCAGATGGGAGGGACCAGAAACCTCCTGGAGGTCTGCTGTCTGTGAACCAGGCCTGGCACATGGCCAGGAGATGGGCAGCCGCCAGCCAAGCCTCAGGGCTTCAGAGCCAGAGCAGAGCAGGGACCCCCAGGACTGGCCTTGCCAGCAGGAGGCCAGGCGGCCACCTCAGCCCTGGTGGCCTCCATGGACCCCCAGGCACCACCGCCCAGCAGGGGCCTGGCAGCCGCAGGGACCAGAGGCTCCGGTGGTGTGTGGGCCAAGAGGTAGCTTGGGCGGGGGCCGGGGGGGGGGGGGGGCTACAGGAAAGCAGCTCCTGTAGGGAGCGTCTCCAGGGAGCCACGGCCCGGGCTGCCAAGGGCTTGCCGGTCGGAAGGGCAGGGCCTGTGGGCTCGGGGGCTCCGAGGGCCTTTCTCAGCTGCTCCTTTACTCAACTGCTCAACGGGCAGGACAGCTAAGGCGGCACTGCTCACCCGAGGCCTGGTGACCAGGCCGGGCTCTGTGAGCAGGGGGCGTGGGGCAGAGCTTAGGCGGCTTCTAATCTTCCCCACAGGCACCCGTGACGTGATGCTGAAGCTGGCCACCCCGCCCTTTAACCGCAGAGGGTGGGGCCCGGAGGAGGCTGCCCAGGTACCTGCTTCTACCCCAGGCGGTGCCTCCTCCCTGCCACCCCACGGCTGCCAGGAGCTCTGGGCCCCCAGCAGTCACAGGCTCTCTTTCTGGTGGGTGAGGCTCCCCACCGCCCCGCGGGCAAGGAGGGGTTGCAGGCGTCACAGGCCTGCCTTCCTGCGTCAGCAGTGCCGCCCGCCCGCCTGCCCGGAGGCCCGCCTCCCTGGAGAGCAGAGTTCAGAGTGGCGGACCCTGGGCACTGGCGGGGGCCTGATGCTGCAGTCATGCTTTTTGCTATTTTGGTGCCGGTTGAAGCACCAAGAAACAGCTTACAAATGAGCCCTCCCTGCTGTTGCCCAACCCAGAGGTTCCGGGAGGGCCCGCCAGCCAGCGTGACTCCATGCTCGTCCGGGCTGAGTCACTAGCCAGGCCCCGATAGGAGGTACGTACCCCGCTGTGGCCCCGGGACAAGGGCAGGCAGAGGAGGGGCCGGGTCCCTCCAACATCCGGTTTTCCTAAATCTGCCACAATCTGCTTCCCCTGTCAGCTGCCTGGCCTCGGGCTCAGGGGCCGGCACACAGAGCCCTACAGGGCAGGGCTCCCCCATCCAGGCTGGCTCGGCCGGGCACGGCCCAGCAGATGCCTGTGCCAATCTCATCAGGTCAAGCCCCCGAGGGAGGCCCTGGAAACCTGCCCGGTGTCCGAGCCTGGCCATGGATCCCGGCCTCCCTGGACCTGGCTTGCCCCCAGACCCCCACATGGACCACGCACTCCCGCAGGCCTCCCGCCTCCACCTGCTCCCGTCCAGCTCAGTCTAAGGTGCAGCCGAGCTTCCCTCCTGTGGAAGCCCCAGGAGTCTTGCCACAGCCTCGCACCAGGCGCCCGGGAGGGCCCTGCGCTGCCTGGGTGGTTCCTGGTCAAGGCGGCCTCTCCCACTGGCCGCTGGCTCCAGGGCTGAGCGGCACGTCAGCACCCGATTCTCCAGAATCAAAGACCGTGTCCAGCTCCTGGGAAGGACTCGAAAAGCACCCACGGGAGGAGGAAAGGCTGAAGAAGCTGAGGGCCACCCTCTGGGAGGGGCCCAGGCAGCCGGCCCGGGCCACAGGTGGAGCGAAGCAGATCTGAGAAACAGCCGGTTCCGCCTTCCTCGCGCCGCTCCTGCCTCTGCTTTTCTCCATCGGCCCCGCTGCCCCTCCCCTCTTGGTCCCGCTTTATCTATTTCTCTCTTTTGCTGCCATGTTCATGCTGCCAGGCTGGCTGCCCACACTGGCCGGAGGGAGAAAGACCTCGCCCGCCAAGGGCCTGCCCCTGGGGACCTGCTTCCGTTTGGGCTGGAGGTGGAGGGAGGACACCTTGCCTCTCCTCAGCCACAGCGAATCCGTGTCCCTCTCACACCTGCCCGCGCTCCTCCCGGCCCGGGCGGCAGTGTGGCCAGGAGGGAGCCGGGACGGGGGCGAGGCTGGAGGCTGCTGTGAAGGGCTCTGCTGCTCCCAGCACCGCCCCCGGCCATCTGGTGCCCAGCCCGGCTGGCCAGGAAGGAGTGGGATGCAGGCAGAGGAGGAGGACCTTAGCCATTGCGCACTCCCTCCCTTCGCACCCCGCCCACCCTGGGGAAGCAGCCCAGCCAGGCTTGCAGTGGGGGGGGGTGGGAGCACAGTGGACAAAACAGGCTTGGCTTGGTCTCGGCAAAGTCTAGACTTTGGAATAGGCCAGGAAAGGCCGTGTTCACTCCTCCATCATTTTCTTCAAGGGGCTTATAAGCAACTTTGACCAGAGAAAATGGCGATGGGCAGGGAGGAGCCCAGCCAGGAGGTGCTGCTGGGCTGCACTGAGGTGGGTGGGGGGAGTGGGGAGGGGAGGCAGGACCTCCGGGAGGGCTGGCGGGGCTATGCCTGCCGCAGGCCACTCCCCAATTCCCCAGCCCATATCACTCCATCCATTGCTCACCCCAACTCTGCCTTCCTACCCTCCACCCACCACCGGCATGAAGGGCTCCACCTCTGGCCGTGCAGCAGGCAGCCTCACGGGATGGTCTTGGTGGAGGTGAGACGTGTTCGGACTCACAGGGAGCCCACCAGTCTTTCCCGGGTTTCGAGCAGTTTGTTATTACCCTGAGCCCAGGAGGAGATGGCCTCCACCAGGAAGAGGGCCGAGGGCCCTGCTTGCTGAGCCGTCAGCCTGAGCCAAAGCGGACTGTGGTGGGAAATGGCCAGGCCTGGGCGGACGGAGACCTGCCACTAGCTCTGGGCCCTGCTCTCTCGCTCCAGGATGCCCCGGTAGGCCGGCTCCCAGACCTGCTGCTCCTCTGTGGGCAGGGTGCTCTGAGCTCCTGCCAACCTCCATGCGTCCCCGTGGGGTCCAGGCGCATGGACTCCCAGCAGCGTGCGTGGCGGGCACCTTCCTGTGAGGGCGTCACAGCCTGGGGAGCTGGCCACCAGTGCCATGAGTGGAGCTCCCCTTGGCAGCCCCAGCACTGACCAGGGCAGCGTGGTCCACGTGCAGAAGGCAGTGCTTGCAGACCAGAGACGGCTCTGCCAACAGGGCGGCCGTGCCTTTGTGTGTCCCGGCTCCAGACCTGCCTGCTGTCCCTGGGGACCCAGCAAAGGTGAAGGACCCTGACAGATGGCAGGAGACAGCAGAGCCGCGGCACTGAGTCTGCGGACCAGGCCGGTGGTGCCCATCCCCCTCCGCCCCGCTCACCGGTCCTCACGGAGCCTTCGGCACAGTGGCTCCCACACTCCCAGGCCGTGCCAGTGACTCGCCGTGACACTGACCAGGGCCCATCCCCACGTCACCTGTGCAGAGGTCCAAGCGCCGCTTCACTAGCTCGGCGAGGCCGCAAGGCCTCCGGGTCCCTGTGTGGCCCGTCCCTCTCGGGGGAGCTGAGAGGCAACGCCTCCTGCTGCTGCGACCTCCAGGCTGCCAGGCCCTCGGCCCAGCTCACCTCCCACACAGCAGTGCCAGGCACCTCTGCCCCGGACGGGTCCCGAGAGCGTCGCATCAGAGGTGCCCAGACGATGGGGTCTGGGCGGGGGGCTACCAGCAAACCCTGCCGGCTGGTCCTCGCTGCGTGGAAGTGTGACCCGGGCGTGAGCTGCTCTCCACCGAGGGACAGCCCTGACACCCCGTGGCACAGCCCTGTGCACAGCCCTGCCCAGGAGCGCCACGGCCTCGTGCGCCCGGCCGAGACCCTCAGGGCTAGAGCCGTGGCCTTGTCCAGCCCCGCACGCTCTTCTCCAGCACCGCGTCTGGGCGAGCGCAGGCCTCTCCTGGCCCTGAGCCTCGGCTTCCTCCCAGCAGCGGGGCAGACGGGCCGGCTGCTCCCCAGGCACACTCAGGCGGCCCGCGCCCACGAGCCGGGCGTGGAGGAGCCCACGTGCGGTGAGGGCCGGGATGCCACCAGGAGAGCGGTGCCACGTGCGGGCTCTCCGGGATCTCTGCCCACCCACCCGAAGCCCTTTGGTCCTGCAGCTGAGCGAGCATCTGGGGAAGGGAACCCAGAGGCAAGGCTGGCACAGGGGACGCCCAGGGCGGCAGCTCACCCCTGCCCGCATGCCCCAGCGCCCGCGAGGCCAGGTGGCCTGCTTCCCCCGGGAGAAAGCACAGGTGAGCAGCCTGGGCCTCAGCCACACTGTCCTCGGCTCAAGGCAAACACTTCCCCACCATCGGGGCAGGGACGGGCTGTCTCTGATCCCAGATGTACCATCACACGTGCGCCGCCTCCTCAGGAAGCCCCCGCACTCCAGGAATGACTCCAAGCGCTCTGAGTCACCCACCGCAGCTCCTTCCTGCAAGCTCACACTTACCTCTCGCAAACCACGCGTCCCACACCCACGGCACCTCGTGTCACAAATAGACCCGACCTGTGAACACGTATTCCCACTTCCCCCACCGTGTGGTCCCCCGGCTCCCGCTGCTGATTCCAGAGGCGGCCATGCCTGTGTCTGCCGTCAGCGCCCGCTCCAACCAGACTGCCCGGAGCAGAGCGAGGAGGCACAGCTGGCTCAGCTAGAGCACGTGAGCAGCAGCCTCCAGGTCGCCAGGGAGCCTCCGGGGTGGCTGAGCACCCCCGGGGGTGGGGGGGGGAGCTGTAGGCACAGGACCTCTGGGGCAGAAGGAAGGCCAAACTCAGGGAAATGGCCCCCAAGTGGCCTCCGGTGAGCGTGGGCACTGTCACCCATGTGAACGCTCCGCCCCAGCTGACCAACAAGTGGAACGCAGAAGGGGAGCCCCCAGACGCAGGGGGCAGTGTCCTGCCTCCCACACCTCGCTCTCCCTCGGCCCGTGTCAGGGAGAGAGGCTAGCCTCAGCCTCCTCAATGAGTCCCATGGGGAAGGTGTCCACGAGATGTCTGGTCCTCACAACGCCATTTTTCCAAGTCAAACTCGGACCAGATGAGAAGCGCCTCGGCTCTGGGGCCGCCCATGCCTCCGGGAGGTGGGATCCCACAGGACCTGGGCCAGGCTTTGGTCTCTGCTGCCACATCTGGAGCCAGAATACAAGCCCAGGAAGACAGAGAGGCCGGTGGCCAAGGGACATGAGAGGGAGAGAGAGCTGGTGACAGAGGGGAAGGGAGCGGGAGGGGGTGGGGCAGGCAGGTGGGGAGGGGGCGGCGGTGCTCACCTGGGTCAGGTGGGGGTTGGGGTTGAACCCGCACTGGTTGCAGACCTTGCTGTGACATTGGGTGCAGGTGTTGAAGTTTGGCTGGCTGGGGGTCGACGTGAGGTCCGAGGTCTTACATATGGGACACAGTGTGCTGCTGGGAAGGGGGGCGATCTGGGGGACCGAGTAAGGTGACGTGGGGGTGCTGCCTCTGTCTGGTGACACAGAGGGGGACCGCCCTGATCTCTGCGTCCTGCTGTCCACCTGCAGCGTCCTGCGGGGGCCCCCAGCCTCCTGGCCCTGGGCCCCTGTCTCCCAGGGGCTCTCATGGCCGGGAGCAGCCCCAGGAGCCTGCTTTGGGGTCGGCGAAGCTGCTCGCTGGCTGCCCAGGGGCTCCTTGGAGTCCAGTCTCCTGGAGACGCTGAAATGACATTGAAAAGGACTACGTTAGGGACACATCACAGAGAAGCAGCCTGCACGGCTCTCCCACGCCCACCGCCACCCTCCTCGTCCTGCCCAGCGCATGACCCGCCACCACTGGCGAGTGCTCCACCGGGTGCACACTCAGGCCTGACCAGCGTCTCCCACGTGAACCTCGGCACCAGGCCCTCCGGTCGGACCAAGAGTCCCTCTCACTCCTGGTGAAGCGCAGGTTCTCGCTCAGGAAGTGTGGGCTGGGAAGAGTCGCTCAGGTGAGGCCTGTTACAGTCTGCAGACCACACCGAGCAGCAGGCTCCAAACCACACAGGAAGCGCCCAGGCCCATTCCAAACGGCCTGACAGTTACCTGGAGGGTGTGGAGGCAGGACGGTGACCTTAGTACCTGTCCCCCCAGGTGTCTCCAGGCTACAGCTCAAGTCCAGACTGCTGCTCGGGCAGGTCCGTGACATTCACGGGGCCTCTTCAGAGGCTGAGCTGACAGCTGGAGGTGGGGCACCCACTACCTGCTGAATGCCATCACCGGTGGAGAAGGGCCTTCCTGGCAGCGGCCCCGCAGGCCTGGAGCCAGACCAAGGCCATCAAGATGGGGGACGCGTTACTGTTCTGCTAGAGTGAGGCCGGGTGGGGCTGGAGTTCTAGCATCAGCCTGAGAGGAGCCACAGAGGAAGTCCGCGGGGCCGGCCCCACCCCGAGCCAGCAATGAGGTGATGCAATGAGGCAGAAGCCAACCGTCAGCTACACCCAGCTCCCTTCCCTGCCTTCTCCTTCCACCCGACTTAGGTTTGTTCCTGCCAGTTTTTCTTTTCCAATTTGACAGAAGCTGAGCACAAGGAGCCAAAGGCCATGCTTTCTCCGCCCCGGAGCCCATGCTGGCTTCAGCCTGTGCTCACCTAGGTGGCGCCTGGCACCCGGAGGCAGGGCAGCCTGGCCAAGAGCCACAGCAGAGGCTGGGCCACCGCTGCCCACGGAGCGGCCTGGCCTGCCCTTCTGCCCCAGAGCTCAGCCCTGCAGGGCCTGCCCGACAGGAAGAGATTCCATGTTTGCTGCCTGTATATGAAGGCCATCGCTTGCCAACGAGACCCAGGAGCCAACTGGTAGGCATCTCAGGACAAGCCACTCGGAGGGGAGAGGCCGGGAGCCCCCAGAGGCCCACGCCAGACACTGCAGCTCTTCCTCTCTCCTGGGGAGCTGCTGGCGACAGACACACCCTCGGTCCAAAACACTCTTCCCCCAAAAGGAATTCTATCACATGGGCATCCAACGCTTCTTCCGTCAGCCAAGAGCAGCACACGGCCGCCCTCAGTCTCAGGCCTGCACTCCCCTTCAATAGGACAGGCAGCCCGGGGCCGGCCAGCCCCGCTGTGCCATCCCTGCCACCGCCTGTGAGGACCACCAGGCGGCGCTGCGGCACCTCTGGCCCACGCGCAGGGCCTGGCCCTCGGGCCTCCAGGTGGGCTGGTTTCTAGGCATCGTTAGGAAATACTCCCACTTGGCTAGACCCACAGTTTCCTTGTCGACGTCGGCTGCTTGGGCTGCGATGTAAAAGCAGCCCCTGAAAGCCACCCAGAGGCTGCGAGAGCCCTTGCACCACGTGAAGGACTGCAGCCCACGCTGACCATTTTACAGACAAGGAAACAGCCACACAAAGAAGTTAAGTGACCCTGAAAGCCTTTAGGACTTGCAAGGGGTGAGCTGGGCTCCTGCTCTGGGGACCGCAGGGCGGCTGTGGAGGGTGGGAGCACTGCCGGAGGCCTCGCTGGACACTGTTCTGAAGAGCTGTCCAGTGCACACTCCCCAGGAAGAGCGAGCTCTCTGACACTTGGCTCCTGCTGCAGGCCAGGCCCAGCACCATGCCTGGCGCGGAGTGGGCACACCGTAAGCAGAGCAAGGTCAACGGAAGACGTGTGAGCGGCGCAGTGAGCTCACGAGCGGGGCAGACATGGGGTGGAGTTATGACCTCTTCACCTGGAGTCTGCCCAGCAGCACCGATCCTCATTGAGGAAACTGGAGGCGCGCTACTCGCTCGGGCATTCAGTCGTTCGCGAGCACTCCCTGGCCCGGGGCTGCCGTCCGCCCAGCGACGGGGTGGATGGTATGAATGGGTCACGTCTCTTACCGTGGCAGGTGGGTCCTTACAGGTGTTCGCTGTATCGTTACCCTCACCCCTTGCACACATTTATAAGTATTCTTTCATTCTTTGTAAACACCTGCTCAATGCTGAATTAAAATGAACTTTAAAAGTGAGCAGAGCGGAGACAGATGTGCAAACAAATCACTGCGAGACGGGACTCCTGGGAGGGCCTCCCAAGAAGGCTCTGCGGACAGGCGACAGCTAAGCCAGGGCTTAAAGGATGGGCTGCACACTCGGGCCCCAGGCAGGGCAGCAGGGCAGGCGGTCAGCGCGGTGTCAGCACCTCGAACAGCTCCTGGCACCCGCGAGCACGTCGCACCTGGAGGGAGTGGCAGGGCCAGGAGGACAGGCTCTCGCGTTCGCAACCGCCACGCCGGGTTCTGTGCAGGGAAACGGTGGAGCCGGGGGACAGTGAGGAGCAGGCAGCGGCCCCTGGGGGAGCGGGAGGGCGGGCTCAGCACAGGGCATTCGGGCTGGAGTCCGAGGGGAGTGGTCCTTCCGATGCGACGGGGCCCAAGGGGGAAGCCCGTTGGCAGGTGGAGAACGGGGAGTGAAATGGCAGGCTTGGGTTTGGTTCTGTTGGGTTCGTGGTGGGGGCGTCCAAGAGGCATCAGGAAACGGAGCAGCGGCCGGGTCCGGCTCAGAAGATGTAGCTGTTTTAACTGGGCGAGTTCAGAGCTCACAGGACCGAGGACCACAAGGGCCGATCCAGGAGGGGCCTGTGCGGAGCGGGAGCAATGCCAGAGACAGAGAAGCCGGAGGAAGGAGCACGCGCGCGCGTGCACACGCACACGCACACGCACACACGGGCGCACGCACACGCACGCACACGCACGCACACGCACACACGGGCACACACGGGCACACGCATGCACACAGTTAGAACAGTTCCAGGAGCAGGAGCAGTTGGGGCTGTGAGTGCCTGAGGCTGACAAGCCCGAGGAGCGTGGAGGAAAGGCTACACCATGACAGAAGTGCCCACTGTTCCAGGAGACCCAGGAGGTCTGTCTGGGACACAGCCCCGGACACAAGGCCCCAGGGGGCCAGGTGGTTGCAGTGACCCAGGAGACAAGAGGTGTGCCCCCAGGAGACCCTCCTCACAAAGGTCTCCACTGGGCGGAGAAGCGGGGGGAGAGGGGGAGAGGGAGGAAAGGAGGTGTCCACAGGCAGGACTCCGCCGGCCCCAGCAAAGACCTGGTTCTCGGGTATGGACCCTCAGCAGGAGGCCCCTTGAGGCCCATGCCCCTCCCTGCAGCCTCGGGTTCCCTACTCCCTGAGGGGCTGGGACAGGACAGTGAGGAGAGAGAGCACTGCCATAGGGCAGAGAAGACTCGGGGCGAGCACTGGAGGGCGGAGAAGGAGGGAGAGGGCGGCGATGTGAAGGAGCAGCCGGGAGCCGAGCAGGGGCGGCTCACGTGCCATGTTCCAGGCCCAGATGTTTCCTGAAGATGGACAGGAAGGTAGAGGGTGTGAAAACGGCTGGATTTCGACCAGCATTTAAGGCTGCTGACTGGTGAGAAGCAGGTCTTAAGGCTGTTTACGGGGCCGGAAGGAGGCCCGCCACGGAGGGTGCTGGGAGGGCGTGCCTGTCCCGCAGCAACACGAACCACCAGGACCAACAGCCTGACTGCGCTGATCAGAAGCCTCAAGAAAGGCACGGCCAACAGCCCCAAAGACGCTTGGGCACCAGGGGCATCCACAGGCCAGGGCCCGGGCAACGCGCCTGCACCCGATCGGTCGCCGCACAACGGGAGGACGGCTGGGGCTGGAGCGACTGGGAGAGCAGGGCGGCAGGGAGCTGAGGGAAGCGGCTGGTCCATGGGCCCAGTGGGGTGGCTGGAAGATAAACGTTCGCCCACCCAGTGGCTGTCTTTGTTCCCCAGGACGGGAGAGGGAGAGAGCTCTGAAGCTGTTTTCTAAGGCGGAGCAGCCGGAAGCGCCCACGGCTCACACAGGCTTAATGAATGCACGGCTGACCTTTCTGCGATAGGCACAGCTCCTCTGAGACCCACCAGGAGGGACCACGTGGTGCCTGTGCTTTCAGGAGAGGCAGGGGCTGCCGAATGGGGAGCAGGCGGCCGGCAGGGTGCTGGAGAAACGCTCTCAGGAATGGATTCGAGAATTCACGGAGTCCGAGTTTGGGGAAAAAGTCAGTTTTCACACAAGAAAGCATCTCTTGACTCGCCCAGCTTTCAGGCCAGCAGCCTCCTGCTCTGTGGCCATGGGTCCCTATCCATCAAACATGTCTGCGTATGCTCGGCGTGTGCACACTTACCCCCGAGTCTGTGCACGGCCGGTGCTGATGGAACACGCCTCCCAAGAGGGAGGATGAGAGGGCGAGAGGAGAGAGCTGTGAACTGCATCTCCACGTTTCCTCCCTGGCCCCGCTGCCTATCTCGGCTCCCTCTCCTCCTCACATGTGCACCCCGGTTTGGGGGCCACTGCAGAGGAAATGCTTACTCCCCGTCTTTAAAGGAGCCACCATTGGCTGCTCGGGCCAGAGTCCCTCCTGCCCCAGCCCTGCCCTCTTAGAGACACGGAGTCGGTGTCAGGGAGCCCGGGCGAGGGGCTGCCCTCCCCATCTCTCCTGACCACCCAGGAACACGGAGAACTGGCCCTGCTCACAGCCACGCACAGGGTGAGCGGCTCTGAGACTCAGCGCAGCACCCAGGAGGCCATCCTCAGCCTCTGAGACACTCTCTTTTTTCCCATCCCCCCCTTCCTTCTCCCCCGGCACTGTTACCATTACCTTCCTCACGACCAGGCTCCAAATTTCAGAGAAGAAAGGGGGCGGGGGGGAGAGAGAGAGAGAGAGAGAGAGAGAGACACATCCATGATGAGAGAGAATCA